AGCATCAACCTAGGCCATAAGTGCCGAAACAATTTCAACAGAAGGATGATCAGAAAAATATGGTGATTGATACACAGATTTGGAGGAAAGAAGCAATTAACTCTGCTAGCAACCAAAGAAAGACAAAATTCAAATATGGAGGCAAGACGAGCACGAACGGGTTTGCTCCCAAAAAATCCTGGAGGCTCTAAATCAAAATTTTTCCACCTCAGAAAGCAAAATTGATAGAAGAGAAATTGAAATACATGGATCCAACCTATGCGATCCAGAGTGAGTAATCGTATTGAAATAGGAATGCAAAAGAAGAATAGAGCAAGGAATCAAAGGCGCACCAGAATTCCAGGAGCTCTCGATGACAATTAGAGATGAGGACTGATAACTCTTATATACTAGGCCCACAACGGTTCTTTGGCAGATGAATATACCAAACAAACGTTTCTACTCCTTCCAACGGACGAATATAATCAATATCTTCAATGTACCTTCGACTAGTACGAGCTAGGGGGCAGTTGATGGAGCTAAATGGGTGTGGGAGCAAATATTCTGCATGCTTATTCTAGCGGGTCCTTTTTACTTGGATCAAAATTTGAGGATGAAATTCATAAAAACCGTTCAATTAGGATTCAATTCTATTGTATGTGCAAACTTTGGGTAAACTCTAAGACTGGTCTCATGGTACAAGTAATTTGGATTGAATGCCCAAATTAAAGAATTCGGATTTATGTAATAGTACATAATTTAGGTATCTAATTTAGAGTTCTATACTAATGTTATCGTTGGATTAACAGTAAACCATCTCTAGTGCTGGGCACATAGTTGTAATCGAATGAAACAGAGAGCTAGCATAGTTCTCCAAATTATGACCTTACTATAATAATAATAAAGCTCTTTATAAAAATGGTCAGCCACTAGACCATTGTAGAAGAATGGTCTGTTAATGATTCTGCTTGCTTTGCTCTTCTAATCAACCTTCTAAATTTTACAGTCGATTGAAAATTGAATGAAGCCTTGATCACAAACATCAAACTAAACAAAACAGGATTGAACCCTAATTTCTCTCCTCTCACTCCCCTGTAACCAACTATCCTAATTTCTTTTATTTCTTTCTTTCTTTTATTCAATTGGACCATTTTAACACAAGTTTTAATCTTGGTGGATTTAATTGCTAAAATTAATATTTCAAAGACCAAACTGATAAATATCATGTACCAAAGAGACCCTTCATTATATTTAAGGGTAAAAATTATAGGTGGTCCCTGAACGTTGTCTTTAGTTTCAATTTGGTCCATGAATTTTCAATTGTCGCAATTTAATGTTTTAGTTATTAATTTTGTTTATTCAAAAAAAAAAAAAACTATCAATTTTGTCTCGATTAAGTCTTTCTGTCCATTTTCACTGTTAGATCGATGTTGAAATTAATTAGATTGGATTGATCACCAGCTGATCTCACGATAAAAAATGATAGAATGACTTAATTAAAATAAAATTGACAATGGAGGGACTAAATTAAAATAAATAAAAGTTCAGAAACTAAATTAAAACAAAAAACAAAGTTTTTTTTTTTATCATGCAAAAACCAACTATGATTTTTACCCTATATTTAATAAAACAACTATACTCTTCGTACAAAACTCTCATCTATTGAAGGCCTCAGCATAATAAGTAATAAATAGCCTTACACTAATTGTATAAAAAATGTTAATAATATTTTTGGTCCTTAAAGTATATATATTTTATCAATTTAATTTTTAGTATATCAATTTTATCAATTTAGTCTCTAAATGATTCAATTCGTGTCATTTTGGTCCCCACATAGATGGACCATTACATTTTTAACAGAATGATCACGTGTTGGACATGTGATGCCGTCTAAAAAACTGACACGTGATTACTTCTGTCAAAAAACTTAACGGTCCATCTATGTGGGACTAAAATAATACGCATTGAATATTTTAGTTTTCAAATTGATAAAATTAATACATTGAGAACTAAACTGACAAAAAATACATATTTTAAAAATAAAAAATGCTATAATTAATTTTCAAATTTAAAACCGCAACATATCTTCCAATGGGTTAGATGGCAAATCCACACCAGTAAATACATGAAACCAACTCTTGGGGCCTTGACCACACCCCCAATAATTCAGTTAAATAAGTAACCACGACCTCTTCAAGTGTTTAATTAATGACATTGTCCATCTGTCACTATTAAAAAGACTAGTCCCGTGATTAGACTTTGTTATATATTAATGAGTTTTGCTTTCTGGTTGGTTAGCACAGAACTGTAGATGAAGGCTATCTCAGTTGCAACCACCAATAATTAGAGGGTAAAATATATTTTTGATCCCTAAATTATATGTTTTATGTTAGTTTGTTCTCTAATCTTTTCATTGTGCAAATTTGATTCCTTAGTTATTTAATTTGTGTTATTTTAATCCAACAAAATACGAGGGCTTATATTGATTAATGTAGATGATCATATGCGTTTAACCTGATCACACTTGAGGGGCATTTTTTAGAAACGGGTGAAAAAAATAAATTATAAATGAGAAGGACCAAAATGTAGTGGCCCTTTAATTGTAGTCACGTGACACCTCTGGGAACAACTCCATTGCTAAACTTAAATCATCTTTTTTTTATTGGACTAAAGTGACAAAAAAAAATAGTTGAAAAAATGAATATCAAAGTGTCACAAAATGCGTACGCTGGAGACTATTAATATAGTTTACCCCCCTCCAAAAAGAATATATTTATTGAAAAATATATTTAATGCACGGAAAGAGAATAGAAATAACAAGATCAAATCATTTTATTAGGGAGAGTAAAGAATATGATAGCTATTTTTGACGATGCACAAAATGTGTTTATGCACCACCTGTTAAGTATGTAATGTAATAACTAAGTAGGAGACTCAACACAAGTCAACACAAATTAAGTGGTTCGATTAAGGTGACCTATTTTATTATGAAGGATTGCAGTGACTTGAATGCTTTATTACTCAAACAGTATAGAGTGCTCAGATGTGAATGATATGTGAGAAATGTCCCCTTTGTGTAGGTGGAGCTTACAATTTATGAACGCATCCTAATAGTTTGAAGCGCCGTTCTTGTAACAGGTGAAATAGTTCGGTAGAGATGACGTCATTCTTGGAACAAGCGAGACAGTTTCGTGTAAATGGTGATGTGCATGTCCTGTGGAGATCTCCTCGCATGTTAATTTGTGGATTAAAACTCTTAAGATGGCGAGGCTGATCCTTGATTTAGTGGTGGGCTTGGTCAGTATATTTGAGCTGAGTTTAGTCTGAATTTTTTAACTAAGCCATTGAGCCGAGCCTTATCTGAGTCAGCCCATCAATTTTTACAAATTATTTATTCATAATTTATTGTCTTTGATTAGTATATTTGAGTTGAGTTTAGTTTGTATTTTTTAACTAAGTCTTTGAGTCGAGCCTAATTTGAGCCGGACCAATCAATTTTTACAAATTATTTTATTGATAATTTATCGTCTTTGATCTTTGAGTGCTCATTTCATTGGAAATATAATGATGATAAATTAGTTAAAGCTAAAAAAAAAAAAGTGAAATTTAGGTTTTTAAATTATTGAAAAATAAAAAAATCACTAACTTAAACTACAATGAAGCCAACAAAATTTACCCTACAACTAAGTCCTCAAAAAATTGAATCTTACATATATTTTGCACGTATCTTACTTGGGTGGCATTAAGGTATGAAACCCATAATTTTTCTCTTTGCTAATGGGATAATTATAATTTCATATCTTCTAAACTAGTGACTACTATTGTTTATTTTGGATGTTCGTAATTACTCGTAAATCTTGTGTATTATCTAAATTTAAATTGTATCAACCAAGTAAAAACTTAAATTCAAAATGCGATAATCACTAAACGAACTCATGCAATCTATGAAACTCATAAATTGTTTTGAAGCAAACAATACTTTTCAAAACTTTACCTGTTTCAAAACCATTTTGTACAATTGATCATGTGTTGCAATGAAGTTTTCCATTATAATATAATAAGAATTTTCATAGTTGTAGTGAAGAATAAAATAGAAGGAGATGGGAAATTTACCATTTTGCCATTAATAATTGTATCTTAGTTTTGATTTTTTTTTTTTTGGTCTTTTTAGCTTCTTAATGAGCTAAAAATGTACTAGAGCAAGAGTACATATACTTTGTAGGTTTTTAATTTGTCGGTGCTAAATTGGCTTCTCAAAAGAGAACATAAAGAAATAAAAGTAAGGGTTAATTACATCTATGGTCCCCAATGTATGCATGTGTCATTTTAGTACCCAATACATCAATTGCATCATATTAGTCTCTAATATTTGCAATTTGAATCTAAATAGTCCCCAAACCTAATGGCTTTATGATGTCTCATAAATTTTAATCATGTGTTATTCATGTTTCTTACAGTGGTGGACATATTTGTCAAAGAATTCAAATGACTAGTCAAATGGCACACTCGAGTCATGTGTGAGCCCTAATTGAATTGCACGCTACTTGAGTGTGTCATTTGAATTTTTTTGACGGATATGCCCTCCACTATAAGACATGTGTATAATACATGACCAAAATTTGTGAGAAATCATGATGTCGTTTGGCGTGGGGACTATTTAAATTCAAATTGCAAATTTTGGGAATTAATATGATGTAATTGATAGATTGATGACCAGAATAGCACATAATGCAAACATTGGGGACCATAGGTATAATTAACCCTAAAAATAACAACAGACAACAAAAGAACGGGTGCGTCTAATAATTCATTCCAGTTGAAATTTTCCTTGATAATTAAGTGGGACCCACCGACCGAAGACGTGGGGCAACACAAGAAATTACTTACTATTCTGATCGTTGAACTCCTTGGACAAGATCTAGTTTTAGCTTTCCCTCACTGTAAGGTCACAAAAAGAGAGGGGTACAACTTCTAAACTCTTTGATTTGTCTATAGATATTCAGANTCTTGGACAAGATCTAGTTTTAGCTTTCCCTCACTGTAAGGTCACAAAAAGAGAGGGGTACAACTTCTAATCTCTTTGATTTGTCTATAGATATTCAGAAAGAATTTGTGAAGAGAAAGAACAGGAAATAAGCTCTCAGAGATCTGGCAACTTCATTTACAGGTAATTTTTTCTACCATTTTCTTGGTGATCAAATTCTTGTTTACTGACACTTTACTTTTCACTTCTGTTTCTGAAAATGGTTCTTGATTTTTCTTGAAGTTGTTGCAGTTTGGGCATCTGGGTAGTGCGTCATTTTATATGAAACTGTTCATCTTATCGTATTAAGCCTTGTGTCCTGTTTGGTTGATGTAGAATGCATGGACAAGACCATAAATTTGAACTAATGTCTTCGATTTCTCATAATCTGAGACCATGTTTGAGAGAACTTCCATACTAATGAGTCCAATTTAACCAGTAGGCTCAAGTTGAGGTGAATTTGAATAGTGGAAAGTAGAACTTTCACTAACAATGCTCAGAGTCTAATTACGTGTATTTCCCCGATTTCTCAGCAACCAAACACCGTGTCGGTCATTCTCTCTCTCTCTCTCTCTCTCTCTCTCACACACACACACACACACACACATTTGACAATTATTCCACAGTGTGTGGCACACTTTAGGCATTATGATCAGAAAATACCATTTGTTGGATCTTACAGTTCCTCTGCGTGTCTCTAAGAGAAAAAAGTGAAATCTTATGAGGAATTTATAGTTTCTTTTGTGTTCAATATAGGACAGAGTGATGATTTATTTGATTATTTTGTTGAGTCTCTAGAATAGGACTATTTGAGGAACGATTCAAAGATGGGGAGGAAAGGAAGCTGGTTTTCTTCAGTAAAGAAAGCGCTCAGCCCCGTGTCAAAGACAAAGAAAAACCAAGTTTGTTCAAGTTTCATTGTAATCCTGTTGGTTGTAGTGTAATTATCCTATGTTTGTTTTTTAAATCTAATCACACTTATTTTCAGAAAGCAAATAAATCGAAGAATGAATGTTTTGAAAAGGAAAAGGCCTCAGTTCCTGATTCCTCGACTTTAGAAACTGCGACTGTGTCTCATCCTCTTCCTCCACAGGAAGAGGTAAATTTGATTGAAGCTGAGAATGAGCAGACTAAACATGCTTATACTGTTGCAGTAGCCACTGCTGCAGCTTCTGAGGCTGCTGTTGTGGCTGCTCAGGCAGCTGCAGAGGTCGTTCAACTCACTGCAGTTACACAGTTTAGAGGAAAATTAAGTGATGAAGTGGCAGCAATCAAGATTCAAACGGCATTCCGAGGATACCTGGTATATTCCTGCCTTGAGCCTTTTTGTCTTGGCATTTTATTTGTTTCAAAGGATTTCTTGATAGGATAGTCACAAATGTTCATTTGAACCACTTTTCTTTGGCGCTAATCTAAGAAGCACGGGCACGGGCACGGACACGGACACGGACACGGGACACGGATACNGTGATAATCTAAGAAGCACGGACACGGACCGGACACGGACACGGGACACGGATACGACACGACGCGGATATGTTGACACGACATTNGCGCTAATCTAAGAAGCACGGGCACGGGCACGGACACGGACACGGACACGGGACACGGATACGACACGACGCGGATATGTTGACACGACATTTCTAAAAAAAGTAGGACACGGACACGTCACATGTTGGGGACACACTACAAAAAAAATATATTTTATATATAACATTATGTAATTTATTGCAAATATAGTGATAATGATATACAATTCATAAAAGATTTAGTATTTTATAATAAATAAATCTTATGTCTAGTCCTACTGTGTAAATTTTTAGACCAAAACATCTTCATAATAGTTAATAATCATCAATTTTTTTTTTGTAGATAATGTGTACCTAATATATAAATTAAATAATTGCTCTCATTTTTTCGATTTCCCTTTTTTAAAATTTTTATGTATTTTTTGTTTTTATTATTATATTTGAAATACAATTTTAACATCTCTAGTGTTAGTAATTATATGTTCTCAAATTTTTAAGCATTGTTAACTACATTTCAACACATGTTTATTATTTAGTAGTAGTTCCTGTTCCCCCAAAAAAAAAATTATTTAGTAGTAGACACGTTCTAAAGAAGTGTCGGACATGTGTCCNATTTTTATGTATTTTTTGTTTTTATTATTATATTTGAAATACAATTTTAACATCTCTAGTGTTAGTAATTATATGTTCTCAAATTTCTAAGCATTGTTAACTACATTTCAACACATGTTTATTATTTAGTAGTAGTTCCTGTTCCCCAAAAAAAAAAAATTATTTAGTAGTAGACACGTTCTAAAGAAGTGTCGGACATGTGTCCGAAATTAAAATTTTATCATTTAATTATGGATACGGATAAAAAAGTATCGAACACGTGTCCGAAGAGTATCGGTGTCCAACACGGATACGTCATTTTTTTGAGAGTTTCCGTGCTTCAAAAGCGACAATGCAAGCACTGTGCAATTTCAGTACTTATTTTTTTGATAACTTTCCCAATGAAGTAATTTCTTAATAAAAAATGAAAATTGATATCATTACCAGCTTAAAGGCAACTGAAGGTTATTTTCTTGTATCTGTTATGATAGTGAAGTTATGTTTTCATNTGTCCGTGCTTCATAAGCGACAATGCAAGCACTGTGCAATTTCAGTACTTATTTTTTGATAACTTTCCCAATGAAGTAATTTCTTAATAAAAAATGAAAATTGATATNTTTCCGTGCTTCAAAAGCGACAATGCAAGCACTGTGCAATTTCAGTACTTATTTTTTTGATAACTTTCCCAATGAAGTAATTTCTTAATAAAAAATGAAAATTGATATCATTACCAGCTTAAAGGCAACTGAAGGTTATTTTCTTGTATCTGTGATGATAGTGAAGTTATGTTTTCATTCAGTGATTCACACCAATAATGTTTGGTTTGGTGTCATCCTTCAATTGGGAAATTAGAAAGCTAGATTGAAAAATGTTCCCTTAGTCTTGAGGAATTATAAATTATGATGGTTCCTTTTTTTTACTTCTCAAAGAAAGATATACCACTACACACTTGGGGCTCACCTTATGAAGCAACGCATGATTGAAACTTATCAGGAAATAATTTTTGTGTTCTTTGTTGGTGGTGATATGTANTTTACTTCTCAAAGAAAGATATACCACTACACACTTGGGGCTCACCTTATGAAGCAACGAATGATTGAAACTTATCAGGAAATAATTTTTGTGTTCTTTGTTGGTGGTGATATGTATTGGCAGGAGCAAACTATATATAGAGACCCCCCCCAAAAAGAAACAAAACAAAAAATGTCAGCTTCAATTTGTCCATTGCATGTGGAGAGTTATAACTAATTGGTGTCTAAATGGGACTGACTGGATTGAAGCTAAAAGATTTTGTCCTCTTCTTTTCCAATGTTTATTTTCTCANCTCCAAAAAAAAACAAAACAAAAAATGTCAGCTTCAATTTGTCCATTGCATGTGGAGAGTTATAACTAATTGGTGTCTAAATCGGACTGACTGGATTGAAGCTAAAAGATTTTGTCCTCTTCTTTTCCAATGTTTATTTNCCCCAAAAAGAAACAAAACAAAAAATGTCAGCTTCAATTTGTCCATTGCATGTGGAGAGTTATAACTAATTGGTGTCTAAATGGGACTGACTGGATTGAAGCTAAAAGATTTTGTCCTCTTCTTTTCCAATGTTTATTTTCTCAGTATTTGTGAACAGAATATTTGGCTGCTCTGAATTAATGGTAAGTTCTAAAGAAGATTTTGGGTCCAAAGTATAAGAAGTGAGTAAATGTGGAAAAATTCAACTTAGAAGCTTTGATTATTTGTTGAAGTGCAAAAAAGGATTATGGCTTGGATGTGAATTTTTTTATATTGTAGATGCCATTGTTTTTCTGCATATTTTCACCAGCATTACTTGTTCAACATACCAGTAATGACCTCACCGGAAAGATTAGAGACATTTTTTGGGAAAATGTTTACAAATTACAATACATTAAGGCCCTTTCATATTCACGTTGTCAGCCATTGAGGCTGGACAATGCTGATTGTTCTCAGTCATATTTGCATGTAGAAAAATTTGAGATGGAATGGAATTCCTAAACTGCTTTTGCTATCTGTTCATTGTTTTAGGCAAGGAGGGCATTGCATGCTTTAAGGGGGCTTGTCAGATTAAAATCACTGGTAGAAGGGCCTATTGTCAAACGTCAAACCACAAACACTCTACGATGCATGCAAGGTCTATCTCGCGTGCAGTCTCAGATCAACTCTAGGAGGATTAGGATGGCAGAGGAGAACCGGGCGCTCGAAAGACAGCTGCTACAGAAACGGGCAAAAGAACTTGATTGTTTGAAGGTTAGATCTTTTATCTCAATGCTGTTCCTTTGTTTTTTTTTTTTTGTTTTTTGAAACCACTCTGTTCACCTAGTGGGAAACAGCAGTCATTTCGGTGTCAGGCATCTTCTGAGGTGCATATGTAGTTTATAAATGACTTTGATGCCATCCTATTGACTATGGAATATTTTGCAGCAGTTACTTATTAAACAACCTTTGCTGCATGTGATGTCGTTAATTTTGGGTTTTAAATTCCAACCTGCTGGGTTTTTAAGTCCACATTCCTAATGTTGTGTTTGGTGAAACGCATACGAGATTTCCTTTAAATACTGGGCCATTTTATCCTTTAACAGAACATTTGTAGTAATAGCTCAGGTTCCAAACAGTAGCTTATTGTTTTGTTCTGCTACTTGTTATCCTTCCATGGGGTGGATTCCTTGTCCACTACTTTGNGGGCCATTTTATCCTTTAACAGAACATTTGTAGTAATAGCTCAGGTTCCAAACAGTAGCTTATTATTTTGTTCTGCTACTTGTTATCCTTCCATGGGGTGGATTCCTTGTCCACTACTTTGAACTCCATATTATGCTTAATGAAGGGTTTGTTTTGTATAAAAAAAAATAGATTTTCGTAACAAAGAAAAATGGCATTTTTTTTGGATTTCACTCTCAACAGTCTCATCTGAGGACATTTGCTTTAAATTTTGTGACAGCTTGGGGAGGAATGGGATTACAGTCTACAATCCAAAGAACAAATTGAAGCAAACCTCCTGAGCAAGTATGAAGCGGCTATGAGGCGAGAAAGAGCACTAGCTTATTCATTTTCTCATCAGGTACTTTATTCATTTTCCTCTGCTTACAAATTTCAGCGTCTTTGGAAGGCAAAATAGCTTTACTTCTACAATAAGCTTCTATTGTAAAACATGTTACACGTAAAATGGAGATTTTTTCCCATTAGCTTTTTTTTTTTGTTTGACACATTCTAAAACAGTTGTGTTAAGGCTGTCATCAAATGGNTACTTCTACAATAAGCTTCTATTGTAAAACATGTTACACGTAAAATGGAGATTTTTTCCCATTAGCTTTTTTTTTTGTTTGACACATTCTAAAACAGTTGTGTTAAGGCTGTCATCAAATGGTAGATATACATAGCTAAAAAATGTGTAGAACAACTTATGGAGCTTAGCTCGCTAGGGTAACTTTTGGCTGTGTGACCAAGTTTTATGAAAGAAAAGTGTTTTTATCAATTCTGCCTGTACCAAAACTTGAAATAAGGAAAAGACTTGTGAGCAGAAGAGTAGAAGTCTAGTAGTCTAATTATCACTCAATTGGGGTGAAAGAATTTGGTAGTCTGCTCTGCTCGAGTCAAAATTATGTTACTTAAGAAGGAATCATCTGCATTGTAGATTATTGATCCTAATTTAAACTCCATGTTTAATTGCACAAAATCCGGTCTTTTATTTAGTTTCCCATGTTTTCATTGAACAGCAAGCCTGGAAGAAGTCTTCGAGATCTACAAACCTATTGTTTATGGACCCAACCAACCCTCACTGGGGTTGGAGCTGGTTAGAACGTTGGATGGCCACCCAGCCATGGGAGACTCAAAGCATGAGTGAGAAAGAACTTAACAATGATCAGTCATCTGTTAAGAGTGCTAGTTTTAGCATTGCCGAAGGAGAAATCACCAAGGCATATGCTCGTCATCAACTCAATTCTGATAAGCCTTCCCCACCCGCCATCCAAAAACCAAGTCTTTCTTCCAACCATCAGTCCCCTTCAACTCCACCATCCAAGGCAGCTCCTCCAATAGCAACCAGAAAATTGAAGCCGCCAAGCCCAAGAGTGAGTGTGCTAAGCCAAGATGATGATTCAAAGAGCATGGTAAGTATGCAATCAGAGCGGAATAGGAGGCACAGTCTACCTGGGTCATCAGTGAGAGATGATGAGAGCTTGGCTAGCTCTCCGTCAATTCCAAGTTACATGGCACCCACTCAGTCAGTAAAGGCTAAATCACGGCTGCAAAGCCCCTTGGGTATGGAGAATGGAACACCAGAAAAAGGATCACCCGGCTCTGCAAAGAAGCGACTTTCTTTCCCTCCTTCACCAGCCAGGCCTAGGCGGCATTCAGGCCCACCGAAGGTACACAACAGCTCCATTGTGGATCACAATGAGAACAATGAAGGGATCGTTTGATTGTTTCTTTTCAAACACTGGATCCACAATAATAAGCTACCTGGTTATAAAGAGATTTGTGAACACAATAGATTGAAAAAAGAAGGCAAGAAGAAAAAAGATGGTCATTTGATTTGTGGGATTTCTTCAACACTTTTAAAAATTCTTATTTTATTCATTGCTTTGAGAGCTTTTGTTTAGGGGTGAAATTTAATCATTCTCTTGGTGAGACTCGCTATGTGATTGTGTCTGATTCCTTTCTCGTTGTTGTAAAGATTGTGAACAATTTTTTTATACAGAACCAACCTTGTTATTGGTCGTGAATTCGTGATCATATGATTATCACATTTTCTCATTTCTTTTGATACAAAAATCCATTAATTGTACTTGGCTTATTGCTTTTTGAATTGGAAAGACTCTCTCTCTGGTACTGACCATGGCTGCCAAATAAAGATTACTGAGGTGAAGACAGCCATGGCTGCCAATTTTTCGTTCAATATAATGCCTTTAGCTGACTAAATATTCAAGCGAACCTCCTCAAGGAGTTGGGTTTTGTGGCTTTTTTTGACAAAAACAATCACAAAATGCTGAAAATTCAGTAAATTGTTCTTGCATTGCATCCTCCAATTATATATGCTTATGCTGACATTGACCAAAGTTTGAACCTCTGCATCGTGACTTGGTGCATTTTCGTTGTTTTATCAGCTCATTCATCGTGTGTCGATTTTTTTTATCTCGTTTGCTTGCCATTTTGATGACTGCACATCAAATTAAGACTACCATGTAGCCATCGAAGACTACAGGGGTTTGAATGCACTTACGTACTTCTATGACCATGTCAAGGAATGCTCTTTCTCGGCTAGGTTGCATTCCACCACGATTGTCTAACAATTGAGCTCTTTGGTGCATGGCTGCCTTCCAGAAAAGGTTGCTGAGATACGAGCTCTCTCTCTCTCTCCAAGAATAATAGCATTAAGTTTCTCAACCTTTTAATTTAAGATTAGTCAGTTCTATTGCTCGATGAAGGTAGCATCTCCAACCATAACTCAAATTTAGATTCAAATTTGAGTTTAAATTTAAATAAAAAACTTGATTTAGTAGTACTTTAATGAACAAACTCAAATATTTTAAAAAATTCTCTTATTGTCCCAAGTCTCATTTTTTTTTTGTGTCAACACAAATCATGATATTTGATAAAATAAATGAAACTTTCATATCTCTCCACAAATGGGTAATTTAAAAAAAAAAAAATGAGTATGTATACAACACTGCATGAGATTAAAGAAACTACTACAGGATTCTAAGATTGTTATAATTCTTTATCATTTTTTATAAACCCAGATAAAGAAAAAGAAAAAAAATATAACTATTTTTAAATGAGTTTGGTCTAAAGAACACAAAAACATATGTTTTTAACAAAAATGAAAGATTAAAGAAATAAAATGACAAACATAAAAGATTGAAGAAATAAAATGACAAATTTTTTAAATTTGTGGATAGTGGAGGCTTAAAATTTTAGGAAGAATCTGTGACTTGAAATTGTACTACCGATAATGTTTAATTTGAAAAATCAAAGAAAAATTTGATAGGTAGGCTTATGGTTNTAGTGCATTTTCGTTGTTTTATCAGCTCATTCATCGTGTGTCGATTTTTTTTATCTCGTTTGCTTGCCATTTTGATGGCTGCACATCAAATTAAGACTACCATGTAGCCATCGAAGACTACAGGGGTTTGAATGCACTTACGTACTTCTATGACCATGTCAAGGAATGCTCTTTCTCGGCTAGGTTGCATTCCACCACGATTGTCTAACAATTGAGCTCTTTGGTGCATGGCTGCCTTCCAGAAAAGGTTGCTGAGATACGAGCTCTCTCTCTCTCTCCAAGAATAATAGCATTAAGTTTCTCAACCTTTTAATTTAAGATTAGTCAGTTCTATTGCTCGATGAAGGTAGCATCTCCAACCATAACTCAAATTTAGATTCAAATTTGAGTTTAAATTTAAATAAAAAACTTGATTTAGTAGTACTTTAATGAACAAACTCAAATATTTACTCAAATCTTTTAAAAAATTCTCTTATTGTCCCAAGTCTCATTTTTTTTTTGTGTCAACACAAATCATGATATTTGATAAAATAAATGAAACTTTCATATCTCTCCACAAATGGGTAATTTAAAAAAAAAAAAATGAGTATGTATACAACACTGCATGAGATTAAAGAAACTACTACAGGATTCTAAGATTGTTATAATCCTTTATCATTTTTTATAAACCCAGATAAAGAAAAAGAAAAAAAATATAACTATTTTTAAATGAGTTTGGTCTAAAGAACACAAAAACATATGTTTTTAACAAAAATGAAAGATTAAAGAAATAAAATGACAAACATAAAAGATTGAAGAAATAAAATGACAAATTTTTTAAATTTGTGGATAGTGGAGGCTTAAAATTTTAGGAAGAATCTGTGACTTGAAATTGTACTACCGATAATGTTTACTTTGAAAAATCAAAGAAAAATTTGATAGGTAGGCTTATGGTTTATATAGTATGAAAGATAGGTAAGATTATAATATTGAAAAATACAAAAAACCAAGAAAATGGAAGATGAAAACGAAAGAACTTACCTNTGGTGCATTTTCGTTGTTTTATCAGCTCATTCATCGTGTGTCGATTTTTTTTATCTCGTTTGCTTGCCATTTTGATGACTGCACATCAAATTAAGACTACCATGTAGCCATCGAAGACTACAGGGGTTTGAATGCACTTACGTACTTCTATGACCATGTCAAGGAATGCTCTTTCTCGGCTAGGTTGCATTCCACCACGATTGTCTAACAATTGAGCTCTTTGGTGCATGGCTGCCTTCCAGAAAAGGTTGCTGAGATACGAGCTCTCTCTCTCTCTCCAAGAATAATAGCATTAAGTTTCTCAACCTTTTAATTTAAGATTAGTCAGTTCTATTGCTCGATGAAGGTAGCATCTCCAACCATAACTCAAATTTAGATTCAAATTTGAGTTTAAATTTAAATAAAAAACTTGATTTAGTAGTACTTTAATGAACAAACTCAAATATTTTAAAAAATTCTCTTATTGTCCCAAGTCTCATTTTTTTTTTGTGTCAACACAAANGTTTTGGGCCCAATAGTATTTTTCAACCTAGATTTTTACAGACAAGCCCTAATGCCAGACAGAACCATAAAATCTGGTGCATACAAATCCTCAAAAAAAATACCGGGCCCGGGAATGTCCATTTTCATTTCTTCGAGCTCCAAGTTATAGCAGAAATGGTCAGTCTCTCTCTCTCTCTCTCTATATATATATATCTATATATATATATATATGTTTATACATTAATATACATATGGTTATTTGTTGCAGAGATTTCTTTATTGTTTGTCTTGGGTCTCTATTTTGTGCTGTTTCAATCATTCTGATGTACGATTGTTTTGTAGTTATGTATTACTTTTTTTTTTTTTTACAAATTATCTAATAGTTTTAGTTTTTTCTTTTGTGGGTATCTTCTGTATGGTGGTGGTTTTATGAGGTTGATCATCAGTCCACGGTTTGTTTTCATTTTTAGATACATATCACAATGATCTGTTGTTCTGTTGATTCTGAGTCATATGAATATAGAGAACTTAGCTTCTATTCAATCTTCCTCAAGCTGTCCAGTTCTCGACATTGCTTTATGCCTGTAGTGCAATCAATTTCTTTAGCTCTTGATTCGCTCAAAGCCTTTCAAGAATTATCATTCACTTAAAGTTAATACATTTGTGTCAAAATTCAGCCCTACATATCTTTTTTGCGTTTCAGTTTGTGAATCCCCTTATTAATTTCACAAGCTGCCTACTCATTTTTTAGGATTCGTTTTTCCTCGAAGATATATGTACGAATAGTAACATTGTCGAATTTGCTCGTGTGCAACTAGTATTGCTATGTGTCTCAGATTTTCAATTTAACCAAGCATTGGGATCAGTCCTTGCTTTTTCACATGATGAGCTTGAGTGTCTTCGTTTTGTGTTGGGTTTCAGATTCTGCTTGAAACCCAACTGGCTCATGGAATCTTTTCTTTTTCAAACTCAGTCCAATTTGCCACCCCAAATATCATCCAGAATTCCCAAGCAAAGAAGGTTCTGATGCACATGCTTCACTGCTTGGGAAACTTCGATTGTCGTATTCTTTCCCATTTGTTCGAGTCTCATAAACCGAATCGCCATGGGGCTGAACCTCACGGTTTCCCTCTGTTTGACACCACCTTGATATGCCCTCTGTGTTGCTTCCATTTTTTTGAGTTGAAACTGTATGAACAAAGATAGCTACTTTGTTAGCACATGCATGCTCCGGAAAACTTGAGTTATTACATACAGAAAAAGATTGTCCAAAACATAATTAGGGTAATGTGTGGTTTCTTAAAGTTCATAGGCATTTATGTGTTTAACATGGAGTTTGCTGTAGTGGGTCTTGCACGTACTTTTGTTATAACTATTGACTTTCCTCTACCTATAACAATCACCAATTTCTCATTATGAATTTCAAATCTGAAATTTGCATCAGACTACACCATTGATAGCAGGACTTACGATTGCTGCTGCAGCTTATGCCAGTAGATATGGTATCCAGGCTTGGCAAGCATTCAAGGCAAGACCACCTACAGCTAGAATGCGCAAATTTTATGAAGGTGGTTTCCAGCCTCAAATGACAAGGAGGGAAGCAGCTCTTATTCTTGGAGTCAGGTCCCTTGCAACGTCATTCATATTGTATTTTGTTGCGAAAATTTCATTTTACCTCATGCCGTATTTCCCTTTACCACTTCATGTGGCTTTCCCCACATGTTGGTGAAAATTTGAGCTTGACTGATGGATCAACATATAAGTTGAAGAGCAGTATTTTTGAATTACTTTGTTAAAAGGAGGCCTTGGCACTTCATTCTGACTTCCTCTTCGCCTTGAGTGGCCTTCTGGTTTTCACCTCTGTAGTTGCCTGTGCTTGGTGTATTGATGCCAGAAATACCACAAATTGAGATATTTTGGGAGGATTCCCGATTGTTATTTTTTGTCATATATGGGAAGTAAAGAACTAAAAAGAAAAAATTTTAAAACGTGTATTACTGATAAAACTGAGGTTTCTACTGACTTGAAAGCTCCTCCTTTGGAAGCCCACTGAAAGAATAGGTGCTGATGGTCCCTCTGTTGATTTTGCTCATCATTTACTGTTCAACCTTAGTGTAAGCTTCACTTGGACTTCTATCCTTTTCAATTAAAAACTCGTCACTTAAGAAAAAGTTTGTTTCATTTCCCCTCAGCAATAAACGCCCAATAACATGTAGGAATCCTCAAACATAATAATTTGGTTTTAATTCTTCTGCTTTTTCAACTGATTTTTTATGTCTGAATCTTCAACAGGGAAAGTACTGCAGCTGATAAGGTGAGGGAAGCACATAGAAGGGTTATGGTAGCAAACCATCCAGATGCAGGTGGTAGCCATTACCTCGCTTCTAAAATTAATGAAGCAAAAGATTTGCTCCTTGGAAAGACCAAGAGCAGTGGGTCTGCATTTTGATATATGCATGAAAGTTTTGTCAAAGTTTTGGAAGGTGAGTTTTAATAGAGAGATAAGCCTTGTTGGAATTAATATTATCCATTTGCCCTTGCCCGATAACTGTCTGATAACCATCATCATTCGATATTATTCTTCCCAAATATTTCGAGCAATAAAAACCTTGAGAATATGAGGGTCTACATTCACTCGTTTATTTAAGGCCCAGTAGTTGTACACTACTTGGAAGCCATAACTTGATCTGTGTCTTTACATTTTGACCTGACGACTTCTTGCATTTGCTCAAATCTGTAATGGAGTAATGTAATCTTAAGAGACACTGTTCTTCTTGGTTAATTGCCCATGAATGAATTTGATGTTGTAGTTTTATTGGCTGTCAATTAGTTATTCTTGTCTGCAAATTCCTATGAAACGCTCCTGATGATTTGCTGGTGAGCTATAAGCCCTCGTTAATACTATCTCTTGTCACCTAGATCAAACTGTGTAGGAATCTTAGCCAATATAACTTGTATGCCTGTTTATTACTCTGTATAAGAACTTGAGCAGCCACTTGGTAATGGACAAATCCACTGCCAAATGTGCCCGATCTGGATTTCTCCAGCTACATCTTTGATGGTGCTCGAAAATCTCCTTACCCAAATATAGAATAATATGGGATGAGGCACAGAGTGGCTTCGTGTGTGCGAATGATAGAGGGTACGTTAAGAGTTGAAGTTGACACAAAGACAAAATATGAGTGGTTCACTTTAGTTGAAGGACTAAGGTTCATTCGCTGTAGGGGAGACTTTTGCTCCCTGAGAGCNGGGGCTTCGTGTGTGCGAATGACAGAGGGTACGTTAAGAGTTGAAGTTGACACAAAGACAAAATATGAGTGGTTCATCTTAGTTGAAGGACTAAGGTTCATTCGCTGTAGGGGAGACTTTTGCTCCCTGAGAGCTATATTGTTTGGGGAAGGTTGTCGTTATAGATGGTTCGGCTCGGAGCTTTTTACAAAGTATTTCCTAGGTTGCTCTTAATACTCTCTCTTGCCTAGTTTTTTTTGTCNGCTATATTGTTTGGGGAAGGTTGTTGTTATAGATGGTTCGGCTCGGAGCTTTTTACAAAGTATTTCCTAGGTTGCTCTTAATACTCTCTCTTGCCTAGTTTTTTTTGTCTCTCTCTCTTAAACAGTGGCGTCGTTAGCTATTTATTCACTTTATCATTAGGGTTTCGCTGTGGTTTTTTTTTTTGGCTGATTTTGTGGTCCTCTCGTCATTTGTCCTGTAGCTGAACCTGCCACCCTGACTTTTTTGCGCCTGGAACGGAAAGCATGAGATATCTCTGCTATAGGTGAATATTTGTTCGTTAGAGTTGTCAAGTATTTTTCCCTCGTCCCATGTCTACGTGGCGCGATTAGGGTTTACTTTAGATTTGCTTGGTGTCGAGCTCCAAACTCTTGAGTAGATACTTTTCGTCGAGTTTGTTGACGTTGAGTTGGGTCTTTTTTCATTAGCTCATGGTCTTTTCTCAGGTATAAAATCATTCTCTCTCTTTTGGCTTCATAAGTATTCTCAATTTGCTTCACCACGAGCTGGGAGTCGCTGTAGATCACAAGTTGTTCTGCCTCTATGGAATGTGCCATGCTGAGCCCGACAATGACAGCTTCGTATTCTGCTTCGTTATTTGAAGTCTTGAATTCGAATTTGAGAGCGTATTCGATATCTATTCCGTCAGGGGAGGTCAGAATCAACCCCATACTGCTGCCTTGGGCGTTNGCTTCGTTATTTGAAGTCTTGAATCCGAATTTGAGAGCGTATTCGATATCTATTCCGTCAGGGGAGGTCAGAATCAACCCCATACTGCTGCCTTGGGCGTTGACGACTCCATCTACTGAAAGCTTCCATGTGGATAGGTCAGGTAACTAGCTGAGTTGCCTCCATGGATGCTTCTGGGGCTACAGTAAATTTCGTAATGAAATCTGCCAACATTTTTCCTTTGATTGCAGTTCTGGGTTTGTATCTGATATCGAACTCACTGAGCTCTATGACCCATTTGACCAGCCTTCTTGAAAATTCTGGTTTGTGTAACACTTGCTTTATTGACTGATCTGTTGGGACCTCAATGGTGTGAGCTAGGAAGTATGGTCTGAGCCTCATTGCTGCTATAACTAGAGCTAGGACTAGTTTCTCTATTTTCGGATCTCTCCTCTGCCCCTTCAGAGTTCTGCTATATTAGTAAATTGGATATTGAGTTCTGTCTTGCTCTCTGACAAGTGTTGCGCTGGTTGAAAAATCCGAAACAACGAGGTATAAGGTGAACACTTCTCCCTCCAAAGGGCTCACCAGTACTGGGAGCGAGTTCAGATAGTCTTTAAGGGCTTTGAATGCTTCCTCGCAGCGCGTATCCCACTAGAATGCCTTTTTTAAGGTTTGAAAAAATGGTTGACACTTGTCTCTTGATCTGGAGACGAAGCGACTTAGGATTGCTATCTTTCTTGTTATGCGTTAGAACTCCCTTGTGTTTGAAGGTAGTTACATGTCTATTACTGCTTTGACCTTTTGTGGGTTTACTTCTATTCCTCTGTTGTTGACTATGAAGCCCAAGAACTTTCCAACAGACACTCTAAAGGCCCATTTGACTTGGGTTGAGCTTCATCTGATATTTCTTGTGGACCTGGAAAGATTCTTCAAGGTGTTCAATGTGGAGCTCAACTTTCAACAACTTCACCAGCATGTCGTTGATGTATACCTCTATGGATGTTTTGATATATTTTTGGAACATTCGATTTACCAAATGTCTAGCTCCAGCATTTTTTAGTCTAAACGACATGACCTGGTAGTATTATGTCCCCTGCTCAGTCACGAAGGTGGTCTTCTCCTAGTCGTTGGTGTTCATTCTAATTTTGTTATACCCAGAAAAAGCACCCATAAAGCTGAGGAGTTCATACCCAGTTGTGGCATCTACCATCAGGTCAATTCGAGGTAAGGGGTAACTGTCATTGGAGCAAGCTCGGTTTAGGTCAGTGAAGTCGATACAGAGGTGCCACTTATCATTTGATTTCTTGACGAGGACCACATTGACTAACCAAGTCAGATAGTCTACCTCTCTGATAGCTTTGGCGTGGAGAAGTTTGCTGACCTCTTCGTTGATCGTTTTTTGGCGTTCTGGGACAAAACTCCTTTGCATATCCTTTTGTTTCCATGCAAACACCTCCATATTTTTTTTGAGGAATTGAATAAAGAGGTCTTTAACTTCCTTGGTTTGCTTAGATCCCACGTATACTAGATGCTCGTGTTCCTCGTCAAGTTGAATAGGCTCCAACTCTTTTGAAGGCATTGACCTTGTTTTCAGCTCGTCTAACTAGATATTCTTGACCTTTTTCTTCTTTATGGATGTCATATAGCACTCTCGTGCCACACGCTTATCTCCTTGGACCACTCTGATGCCATTTTCTATGGGGACCTTCATGATGAGTTAGTAGACAGAAGGAATGACCCTCATTGTATTAATGGAAGGTCTTCCTAGTAGAACATTGTATGCTGAGGGAGCATCGATTACTAAGAACCTCAAAGTGGTAGTGGACTGACAAGGTGAATCTCTCATGGTGAGCACAAGTTGGATTAAACCAAGGGGTAACACCATTTTCTCTTGAGAATCCTAGGAGGAGAGCCCTTATTGGCTTAAGTTAGTCTCTACTTATATTCATCTTGTCAAAGGCAGATGCGAAGATGATGTCGGCAGAGTTCCCATTATCAATCAGGACTCGATGGACGATTTTGTTGGTGATGATAGCTATTACCNAACTTTTGTGGGTTTACTTCTATTCCTCTGCTGTTGACTATGAAGCCCAAAAACTTTCCAACAGACACTCTAAAGGCCCATTTGACTTGGGTTGAGCTTCATCTGATATTTCTTGTGGACCTGGAAAGATTCTTCAAGGTACTCAATGTGGAGCTCAACTTTCAACAACTTCACCAGCATGTCGTTGATGTATACCTCTATGGATGTTTTGATATATTTTTGGAACATTCGATTTACCAAATGTCTAGCTCCAGCATTTTTTAGTCTAAACGACATGACCTGGTAGTATTATGTCCCCTGCTCAGTCACGAAGGTGGTCTTCTCCTAGTCGTTGGTGTTCATTCTAATTTTGTTATACCCAGAAAAAGCACCCATAAAGCTGAGGAGTTCATGTCTAGTTGTGGCATCTACCATCAGGTCAATTCGAGGTAAGGGGTAACTGTCATTGGAGCAAACTCGGTTTAGGTCAGTGAAGTCGATNTACCCAGTTGTGGCATCTACCATCAGGTCAATTCGAGGTAAGGGGTAACTGTCATTGGAGCAAGCTCGGTTTAGGTCAGTGAAGTCGATACAGAGGTGCCACTTATCATTTGATTTCTTGACGAGGACCACATTGACTAACCAAGTCAGATAGTCTACCTCTCTGATAGCTTTGGCGTGGAGAAGTTTGCTGACCTCTTCGTTGATCGTTTTTTGGCGTTCTGGGACAAAACTCCTTTGCATATCCTTTTGTTTCCATGCAAACACCTCCATATTTTTTTTGAGGAATTGAATAAAGAGGTCTTTAACTTCCTTGGTTTGCTTAGATCCCACGTATACTAGATGCTCGTGTTCCTCGTCAAGTTGAATAGGCTCCAACTCTTTTGAAGGCATTGACCTTGTTTTCAGCTCGTCTAACTAGATATTCTTGACCTTTTTCTTCTTTATGGATGTCATATAGCACTCTCGTGCCACACGCTTATCTCCTTGGACCACTCTGATGCCATTTTCTATGGGGACCTTCATGATGAGTTAGTAGACAGAAGGAATGACCCTCATTGTATTAATGGAAGGTCTTCCTAGTAGAACATTGTATGCTGAGGGAGCATCGATTACTAAGAACCTCAAAGTGGTAGTGGACTGACAAGGTGAATCTCTCATGGTGAGCACAAGTTGGATTAAACCAAGGGGTAACACCATTTTCTCTTGAGAATCCTAGGAGGAGAGCCCTTATTGGCTTAAGTTAGTCTCTACTTATATTCATCTTGTCAAAGGCAGATGCGAAGATGATGTCGGCAGAGTTCCCATTATCAATCAGGACTCGATGGACGATTTTGTTGGTGATGATAGCTATTACCACCAAAAGGTCATCGTGGGGATGCTAGCAACTCCCCAGGTGCATCTGAGAAAGTGATATCCATGCGCAGCCGAGGTGCTTTGGACATAGCTTGTACTTTCAGCATCTTCAGTTTTGATTTTGCGCATGTGAGCCTTCCGGATTGAGTTGGATGCCCCACCTTCAACGAATCCTCCGAATATCACTCTGATCTCTCCCAGAGGTTGCTGATGTTGTGCAGGGATTGTTGCTGAGGCGCTGGAGGTGGGTGAGCTC